AACTAAAGGCATTCATGGTCACCAATCCAGCCCTTCCGAAGCTATTTGAATTAATTCTTTGGATTGAAGAGAAAGATAAACACATCCATGGGCTTCATGAAAGAATAAACCACATTAGAACAGTGATTATGCACATGAAGAATAGGAAAACAGAAAACACAGAAATCAAGAAAATAACAGGAATTAATACACTTCAATATTAAATTTGAATATTACGGGTTTAATTTCTCCAAAAGACATAGACTAGACATGAGTTTAAAAAAATAATCTACTTGTTATCGCCAAGAAATTCTCTCATGGTTAAAAAAATACATCTCAAGGTGAAAAAGACGGAAAAGAGATTCCAAGTAAGTAGGCCAGTGTATCTCTAGAAAAATAAAATCTCTTACTATATACTAAATATGGATCCTTACATTTACAAACAAAAATACCATACACTGCTCATCAAGGAAGCTTCCTTTTGCAACAGATGGAGGATACTGCAGAGTTCCACAACTGGTCAGACACAGAGAACATGCATCTGAGAGATGCCCAGTCCTAGGTGACACATCTACAGTTGACCCTCTATACCTAAGGCTCATAGAACATAACAGAATGAGGGATAGAGAAAAAAATTAATGCATCCCTAAACTCTCACCAGTGAAGCTTCCTTATACAAGAAGGTAATGCACACAGAAAGCCACAACCGTCCAGGTTTTGAAGAATAAGAGACTGCAGAATGTGTATCCCTGGATAGGACTCCTATGCTGAACCTGACCCAACCATGGCTTGGGGATCATTGTGGAAGATGAGGCAGAAAGTCATAAGAGTCAGGGCTGGTGTATGAACACAAGGAAGCAGAGGCTTTCAGGCCTCTGGAAGTTTACACATATGAACTTGTGGCGGTGGTGGCATCAAGTACAGGACTCATACCAACTGGGTCAGACAAGGGCCCAGATTGGAGTGAGAAGGATGAGTGGCAGACCAGCTCTAGATTGAGAACTGTTTGAGACTGATTGCTGCTGGGTGAGGGAGAATGTGCCTTATGACATCTGGATAGACTGGCTAGTCTCCAGTGGATGAATTAGTACTGAAGGATATATGGGTACAAATGCTTGATTGGATAGGACTTAATATGTATGGCAGAGTGCGTGAAATCCAGTGGGGGATTGGGGGCATATGGATGGAGGAGAGAGTCTAAATTTGATTAAGAACTGTTTTATGTAATGTTAAAAAGTTCATTAATTTTTTAAAAGATATTAAGACAGCTAACAATGAGGAAATGGAGGGAAACGGACACAGTTTGTGGGAATTTAGGGCCTAAGGTCAAAAGACCCGGTCACTGATGAGTGCCTGAAGAGGAAGTCAGCTAACCGCTAGCCTGATAACTGAAGACCCAGCTAGAACTGTGGCATTTACTGGTAAGGATATAGGGTGTTATTGGAGGGCTTTGGGCCAAATGGTGATGCGACAGCAGAACACCTCTGACTGCTGTGCTCAGGATGAGGAATGGTCAGAATTAACATTTTTTGTTAATTATTTATTTAATAACCACATACTTAGAAGAAGCATTTCATTACAACAGCATTGACATATTCAATAACAATTTTCTGAGCTAAGATGCATCTTTTTCAGAATTAGCTGTAAATTTTTAGGTTTGTAGTTGAATTATTATAGTTATACAATATTGTACTCATCATAAACCCTATAAGACATAAAATTAAATGAGGTTTTAACCTTTAAAAAAGAACTCCATTTCATTATTAAAATACAGTTTCATACAGAAAAATTCATTTTCAATGCAATTGACATTAAGATGTTTGCACATGCATTTCTAATCTCTATATATCTGATTATTACTAGTGATAGTCGGTTACTTTCTGATCTCCTTGGCATCTGACCATGGATATAAAGTCAAGTAGATTTCAATGGTAATGTTTTTCACATCTACTAATATTATTAGAGTAAATATTTATGCTTTGAAGAATTTTTTAATCATTTTTAATATACCCACTTCCCAGGTAGCACCCTCCCATAGCCTCCCTCCCCCCACTAGAGAGCCCTTATACTCTGATATCCCTGCTACTGTCTGCTTTTCACAAGTGGGTGCAAGTTTCTAGGTTCACAGTTGAGTTAATACAGTTATACAATATTGAACTCAGTATAAGCCCTGTAAGACATAAAATTGAATGAGTTTTTAACCTTTAAAAAATATCTGCATTTCATTTAAAATATATTGTTCCTTGCAAAAAGACACATTGTTTTTGCTACTAACACTCAGATGTTGGCACTTGCATCTCAAATCTGTATGCATCTGATTATTACTAGTCGTAATCGGTTGCACTTGGATCCTTGGCGCCTCTGTATATCTATGAAGTCATCAGGTAGATTTCAATAGTAATGTTTATCACCTCTACTAATTAGCATGAAATAAATTTCCATGCTTCCTCCTCAAATAAAAAACATTTTTTAAAATTTGTTGATTTGTGTTTGTGTGTGTGTGTGTATGTGTGTGTGTGAAATCATCTTATTCA